GGATGCTTTTGAGGACCACATGGGGCCACTATAATGCTTTTGGGGGGCATCTGGGGGCTATTGGGATGCTTTTTGGGGCATCTGGGGGACACTAGGGTGATTTTGGGAGTCATAGGAGCCGCAAGTATGCTTGGGGGGGGGCACAGGGGCCACTAGAATGCTTTTGGGGGCCACTCTGGGGCACTGGGATGCTTTTTCGGATCACTGCCGTGCTTTTGAATGTCACTGGGGCCTATTTAGTATTGAATTATAACAAACAGACTACGTTTTAGTTAATGACAGTGTCAAATTACATGTTTGTTAAAGTTATGATATTATAAATTGGTTTTACAACCACGAAATCATAACCTCTTAACCCAAAATGTTATCATGGGCACTTGTGTCTATATCCCGTATTTGGGATGCCTCAAGAACAAAAACAATTTTTTTCTTAGTTATGTTACCCAGGTTAGAAAAACATAAAAATGATTTAAGAAATACTAATGCATTCAATCTGTTGTCATTATTGGGTTAAAATGCTTTTGACTTGAAGCTTCTAGCTCAATTTTGAAGGAAGTTGCATCAATTTTTGTAAAATTCATCTTAAAAACGTTTTTGGGTTGCTTATGCCACGATCGCCCCCCCCCCCCCCGACTGAAAGCTGGCTGCATCCCTGATTAATAATTGCCCTTATGACATAATAACATAACACAATCCAAATCAAATAATTTTCTATAGTTATAAGATTATTTTGTCATTACATTTTGAAAAGAATACATGTCAGTCAACTGGTCAAAATGTAACATTTCCTAAAGAATTCTTGTTTACAGCAGACAGTTTTGCTACATGATGTTACCATAGCAACAGTGTGAATTGAACATTTTTTTTGAATTGAACATATTTCATTACATTTATTCAATTTTACTATGACCATACATGTATGAATGAAATAAACTTATAAACTCAACTAAAAGAAATAAACTAGATGAAAGCATTACTTACCATTTTAAATACAGTAATTTCACAGAGTTATACATCCTGATTAAGATAAAATATGCAAGAACAAACAGTTATGACGTCATAATTAAGATGCAAATTACCCTAATTGCATATTTTATTAAATATATGATTGCTTTATCTATTACCTTTCATTTGGTGCAAATTTCATCTAAAGCTGAGCAATAATGACGAAGATATGGGCAAAACACTGAAAGGAGCCCCTAAAAATGGGTGTGGCATATTTACTTTGTTACCATAGTGACGCTGCTGCGGATTCAGAATTGCCACCTTAATATATTTTGATTGCATTATCAATTACCTTCCATTTGTTGTGAATTTCATCGAAATCTGAGCAATAATGAAGGAGATAGGGGCCAAACACTGAAAAGAGCCCCTAAAAGTGGGCATGGCTTATTCACTTGGTTACCATAGCAACGCCGTCGCGGATCCAGAATTGCCAACATCATTTTTCTTGGTAAGTATCACGTATAGTTCATAAAAATATGTGTCGCATAGCTCGCCTCTTAAAAGGACACAGAACCTCTTATTTGGACTTTTGCTCCCAGACTAAACATGCCAAATCTTAGAATTGCGCAGTGGAACTTGAATGGGGCAAATACGTCTAAATCATATAAAGATGATGCGATCAGTGAACATATGCTGTTGCTCATAAATATGGAATAGTTTATAGATATTTATTGTTTGGTATAATTCTTACAAATGATAATGTTATTGTCTCCTGATTCCCTCCTCATATTTTCATATAAAACTGATTGTTATTTAAAGTAGCTCATGCAGGTAGATCTGTTCATATATTTCGCGTAGACAGGTCAGACATCTCATTGACAACTGGACCCGTGGGATGGATGCTCTGATTGCAGCACGAGGAGGACATGCTGTTATGGGATAAAGGACTCGAATTCATCTTCATGACCTGATCGGTTTAGCTAATTTGGTTTGCTTTACATCGGGATATTGGATCGGGGTGTTTTGAAAATGCAATTTAGGTTACTCCGACAGCAAATTCCTAAACTAAAATGGAAATATTTTTCCCTAAAAATGTTGATTTGTGGATTAAATATGTGTTCATGATTTGCCTAAAAAATTAAATTGCTCAATTGACTTTAGTTAAATGTTGTCTTAGTCCAAAACTTGAATTCTGATCTGGCAAATCTAATATTCCATATTTATGAGCAACAGTGTATGCTATATGATTCTAATTTAAACCAATATTTCTATTCGGGATAAGAGTTCAGGTGGTAATTTACATAAATATCTCCGATGATACATCGCTTTTTGAAGGGACAGATTTTCATTAGCCCGCCGAACGAGTCGATTACTCCGAACGTTTCTCAGCTTCTGATCTTCCATCAGCCCTCAAGCATAAATGTATGAAAGTTCAAAAAGCCTTGTTATATCTTAATTACATACATACTTATCGTTTGTGCAAATGAAACCCAACATTAATGTTTAATAGAATAGCAGTTTGGCATTGAAAATAGCACCCCTGTGTAATCCAATGGGAAAGAACCCGGATGTAGACGAAGTTGTACCATACATGAGAGCTCTTTAAACGGGAGGTAACTAACCTGAACTCAAGAAAAGGTTATCGCGTTTTGGTATATTGAACGTGAGCGAGAATAAAGGAGGAGGGAACGTATCGCAACAGATTTCGGACAGTCATATATTGGATTTCTGCTATTTTCTGAGGATTTAAACAGGTGCATATGTTAGGCCAATACATTATCTCCAGGAAAAGCACTCATAGAGATGATACAATAATTTCGACTTTGAAACAGGGAAGATGCAAACAACCCACCCACATGTTTTTTTCTAAAATGTTGTCCTGATTTTCAATCCCTTCCACCTCTGTTTTTTCAATATTTGTCGCATCAATGTATCAGTACATTTTAAGCAAATAAGTGGAAAACTTGTGGAGTTCGACAAAGTTAAAAAGCTGACTTTTGAAAATAAATATATCTGCCATTTTGCAAACATGACCGCCCGGAAGACGGAAGAAAAGAACAAACACGACGACAACACTTTGAAATATTCGTGATCGCCAGTTGATTCTGCAGGCCTAAATCATAAAATTTTAATGTCACCATTTAGCTTTTAATGTCGATTTATCTTTTTGACTTATGGTCTTCTGACACTCGAGAAATATGTATCATAGTTAAGAAACATAACAAAGCAATTTTCAGACCTAAACTGCTGCGTGCGAGAGCCAAAAAAGGTTACCCAAAGAAATCTTTAATAAATCAGCCACCCAGCATGGGTTTTCATTCTGCTTAGTTTCAATCATTTATTCCCATTGGCTCGATTTTATATTCTGGCCATTTTACAAAACATGCTCCAAATGCCAAAACATGCCAAACTCACCCGATAAGAAGCCCAAGATTTTTTGGGCCATTTAAAGATAATTTTTACACTAACAACCCTAGAAACATCAGCGAGATGAAACAAAAGATAAGGAAATACATGTATCAGTGATCATGAGCGTGTATGCAAAACAACTTTAACGATCGGTTCAAGTTTGCCTCCAGAGACAAGACTGGCATTTTGAGCATGTTTTGTAAAATGGTCATAAAATCGAGACCTTGTCATTAACATCCTGTACTTTGCTGTTTGCAACTCATTTAGAATATAAAATCCATCATACTGTTGATTTTATAAATAAACATCACTAAATACTAGTTCCAAATTTATCGGACTGTGTCATACTTCCTTAGGAATTCTTATACCTTGTTTCATTAATCGTTAAAATGAGTAATAATTGTGTAAATATAAAATCTGCCTTCGAGCAATATACTGAGAACCTGGACATGGAATATGGTGAGATAGTTCTCTAATAAATTTAAACAATCGTCACAAAAGGGCAAGTCAAACATGAGATGAATTCTCGATAGTTTTACGATAGTTTTATTCTTGGAACTCATTCTACATATTTTCAATTTTGCGGTTAATTATGAAAGTGACTAAATAAACGTTTGAACAAAAGTTTACCCTTAAGCCTGACATTTCTCAAAATAAGCTACAATTACATGTACGTAGGTCAGGAAGTTAACTATAATCGGTCCCATATTAGGAAATTACCAGACTCGTACGATGGAATATTTGCCGTGCTTGTATTTGAATGTTTTTTTTAAATTTGCTGATCCCTTAACAGTTGTAGAATGCAGGACAGGCTATATTTGGAGAGCAGGCTGACTTAGTGTGAGAAAGTTTGTTTTGGCTTCGGGCTAAAGTTCAAGTCAAGAAAATATATGTATATTTTTGCAATTTTCTAATTGCCAACACAGTTAACATGTGACATACAAGAAATAATTATGAGTAATTCGAATAGTGTCCCATAGGCCTACGAAGGCATGTACAAGTGTATATGCCTATTAGAAAAGTGAACGCGACACTGAATTAAAACAAACTACTTATGATTGACTGATTGACTCGTACGAGAACTTCAAGACAAGGAGAACGAGTCAAGAACTGCCATTTTGTTCTTTTGATATTAAGGAGGTACGGCTTATTATTACTGTACCTTGGGTTCATTTCCAAGGTTTGATTAAAAACATCTGGAAATTATATTTTCGTATTTAGGGGAATACTAAATTCTAGAATTAATCAAAGAGAGAATCTGATCTAGCAAGCAAGCTAAACAAACAAATGTTTTACTTTTAGAATAGTTTTAGCTCGTGTCATTCGTTGCCATGTCTATTAAGAAAACTAAAGATTTTTACAATAATGTAATGTTTTTTCTATACATATGGTAACATTCTTATCATTTGGGAGAATTCAAATATTCTTCAACCATTCTTTACTCTTTGAATCCTTGATAATTTCTCCAAGTAATGGCACATTGTGAGTCTTTTGGGAGATATTGTATTTGAGATCGTAAGGAATAGATAGGTATTGGTACATGTTCCTAATAATATTGTCACCCCTATTGATCTTTAACTAGTGATGATACATTTTCGTTAAATAGTAATATAACATATAAATTCATCAGAAATTATAATACATACCTTCAACTATCTGATTATTCATATCCGAACATGCTAGCACGCGGCAATGACAAAAATGAAGCTGCATGCGTCACACTATAGTTAGTTCGATGACATCCATACTGTCATGTTTCTGCGTTAACGAAGGTGCTATCAAACTTCTCTCCTGACTGGATGTAAACAGCAATATAGTGCACTGATGATGTTGTGGAACGATTCTTGTTCCGAGTATACCAGTATACCATATGGTTTAGTCTACACAAGAGGCGTTTTGCTAATAAGGGGGTCGTTTCATAATTCATATGTAGTACTCCATATCTGCCTACATATTAAGTTACAGTAATCCCCATCATATCTTATGAATCTTAAATCTTAAAACTATATTCCTGAAAGCACTGATAACTCAATAACTGTCATCGTCTGTTTATTTGTTTTATCATTTGTTCAAATAGAATTTGAGTTCTTCAAATTTTGCCTTATTGCTAATTGGTAGCAGAGGTTAGTACGGTTAAGACAAATATTTAAAGCCATTAAAGTATTCAAGTCATAACTAGAGCAGTCCTTTCTACTAATGTATTCATTTAGAAAATACTTACAAAAATGAAAATTGAAAATATAACTGATTTGACACGTTTGAAGCGATCACTTATGTTAGTCTCAACTACCACTCTGGCATGTATCGTATTTTCATGTTTTAGACGATGCCAGCATCTTCGTCTGTAGGTGTTAGATGGAGCTCGCGGATTCACGAACTATTTGCGGTAAACTCCACTGGTGAGAAGGGTTGCTGCGAAGAAAACAATTTAATTTGTTTTGAAACATGATTTTAGATTTCATTTTAATTGAGAAAAATAACATTACAAAAACTTGTTGGAAAATAATCACACTCGATTAACATTATTAAAGTATAGTATTAAGCTGTTACAGACATTATGATGCTATAGAATTATTCATTTAAAATTTAATGTATCGTTCAGCTGTATATACTTATATTCCTCTACACTCAACAATCACATATGTACATTACGACTAATATATATTTTATATCGAATGATTTAATATTTCTTGATGAATAGAGTTATAAAATAAAGTGAGTTATAGACCAGTGTTGTGCCTACAGCCAGCTGTCCGTACTAATGCTCTTCTAGTCTACTCCTCAGTCATTATTACTGCCGCTTTATGCACTTATTCCCACTAATCTAGATATTATCAGCAAGATCGTGTAGTTCTGTGATATTTTATCTGACGCTCCAACTAAATATATACCAGACAACTTCTAATCGTTCGATCGGACGATTAACAGCGGCATCTTCAGATTCATTAACATTTTTTACAAGTCAAGTTTGATCTGATATTCAACTTGGGTTACACTGATCCCTGAAATCCCAAGGAGGATTGGCTCCCAGAATCGAAGTCGATATTTTCCAACAATGAAAACGCCGAAATGTCGTTATTTTCTGAAGTTATAACCGATTATAAATTCAAAATAAACAGTTCAAAAGATTCAAACCAATATCTTGATCATTTCTTGTGAGTTTTGGAATTTTTCGTTAGGAAATAAGACCAAAATTCACGATTCAAATGTTGAAGTGAACAAAATGGCGGCTGTTGGAATTCAAATTTTGTAGCACGACATGCCCATATATGGGACAGAATATCGATGTTGCACTCTGGGAGCCAATCCTCCTTGCTGAAATCCATAGCATCTAATGGCGTAGCGTCATATACGCACAAAACGTCATGGTGTACTCTCAAGATTTAGAAAAAAACAGTTGATTTTTTAATGATTTGCCCCACACTTTTAAAATTGATAAAAGTGGCCAATAATTTCAAAACGCCCCAGAACACTTCAAATTCAATTTCATTTTCAAATTATCTTGGGGAGGACCCCCCCCTCCTCAGAAGCCCCCTCAAAGCACGTTTATTTCGCTCACTCGCAGTGGTGTACACTCACAATATGCCCACGCTATATGCCACTGACATCTTCACCTTTTTACAAAGAGGTGCCGTGGTGCAAACATAATACATGTATTGAAAGATCTCACACGGTAGCATAGAGATGTAAGATGCTTTGGATAACAATATAACAAGTTAAGAAAAATGAGGGATAACATAACATTTGTCATATAGAGAGGAAAATCAGATGTACAAACGTTGGGTAAAATGTTACACAAGGTACACGATGCAATAGATGGGTAACAGGCCTGTAGCCAGGATTTCTCAAGTGGGGTTCTCTTTTTGTTAAATTTACATCCAGATTTGCACCGCGCGCAATACCTAATTCAGTTACTTAATTATCATTGACATACTTTCCTTCGGATAATGAATGGATCTTAAAGATATGCCTATCTTCGTGGTCAGCCTGAGCGTTACAATCAAAGATGTAACCGTCTAAAATTGTTTGCAATAACATATACGTCTTGCAAATTCTGCTGCAAGATTAACTTTTAATGTCAATTAAGTTAGCTTTTTTTGTCACTAGTTTGTCTATATGGGCCAAGACTCAGCACGATCAAATATTGATCATAAAAGAGTATAAAGTTCGATCCTTTCTTTTTTAATTGTTATACAGTTATATGTAATCAGTTCATTCTGACACTAATCTTATTTTATTTAAGATTTAAATTTTAAAAATACACTTCATTAAAATATTGATTCTAAAAGATATACTGTTGCGTCATTGTGAATTCGTAACCTTTCAGAAAAAACATCATTAAAAATTGAATTAAATGGCCAATTAGTATTACTATAATATTCGGATAAAATGATTTTGCTTCTAGACACCACATGAGCTCCAATTACAGATACGAACAGAACTAATATGTTACATATATCACAGTAAATGGTTGAATTCTATTATAGCACGATTGAATATTGATCATAAAAGAGTATATACCGTTCCTACAATTCTCATTTATTAAATTGTAATAGCGTATGTAATCCATTTCATTCTGACGCTAATCTTATTTTATTTAAGATTTAAATTCAAAAATACACTTCATTATAAAATATTGATTATAAAAGATACACCGTTGCTTCATTGTGAATTCGAAACTTTTCAGAAAAAATCTATTGTTATGATTGAATTAAATGGCCAATTACTGTTTTTATCATAGGTTCTGGGCCGATATAAAGATGGCAGCACCAACAGAATCCAGTATTATCTTTTTCTTTAAAGAGAAACACAGATAAACACAGAACGATTACCATGCCATCTTTATTTAAAAATGATTTCTATCGCCCCTGAGCCTATGGTTTAATATCCTGATGTCGAAATGATTTTGCTCCTACTAGACCAGGTGTAAAAGGGTAGAAGTTCCTATCAGATTATGGCCCATTCTCCGATTTATATGGTAACCTAAATACAACTCTTTCCCTCATTATCTTATACACAATCAGGGCCAGTAAGGGCCGATAAGAAAGGGGACCATAATCCCTGGGCCCGTCCCTGGGGGACCATCATTTCTTTCACACCGGCCTTGTTATAGTTTCGAACAGGACACATGCCTTGGTCACATTTGCTACGATTTATAGGAAACAAACAAATATATATAAAAATGCATGTTATAATAATTAATATTAATCTCTTAACATAAGTATATACAAACATGTTGGCATCTGGGCATCTCATGAATTGACTGTGACACTCTCTTGCGTATAAAGTCGCGTTGTTTGCGGCTTGTGAATGAAAGTTGAATTCTCCTTCAAGGCAAATGAAAATCAGTAGCCCGATAATTATGTGGATGGTGCTATATTTGACTTAACTTAACTTAAAGATTCTTATCCTATTTTATATACTGAGTTTGAACGTTATATTAAAACTACTGTTGTAATGCATAAATCCAAATGGAAAATGATAGTTAACGCACAAATCTTTTCAAAACAACAGCAATTATGGCACCAAATGCTGGATCAGGATGCCTCTCTATATCGCTTTAGAAATAGTCATACAGTGTACGAACCAATAATACATTGGAAATTGGGAATTATTTATCCATCTCACACTTGGAAATTGGGACAACTTTTATCCTTATTAATACTGAACTCAGAAACTGATAGATGCTGTCCTCTTTGCAATAGTGTGACGAATGACATCACAAAACATATATTATTATAGTGTCAAGTACTATTTCAAGAAAGAGATAATCTATTTAATGCTGTTGTTGATACATTAGGAGTTGTTGACTCAGTGGCGTTATTTAATACTGATGATGAGATATTTCTTGAAACTATTTTAGGTAGCAGAACAGATATGTTATTTGATTGTAATGATTGCATTTGGCAACAATTTTTAATAGTATCTGCAGTGAAAATAGATTATATTCTAAACCATGCTGTACTACATTTAAATATGTAAATACCTGGAATATTTGTAAATAATGTATATTTATTATTATTATTTTATTTGTCCTTAATTTTGAGTTAAGTTAAAATGTTAAATTGTAATCTTCATTTAATGGAGGAAATAAAGAATATACAATACAATACAATACAATACATAGGTTCTGGGCCGATATAGAGATGGCAGCACCAACAGAATCCAGTATTATTTTTTTTTCTAAAGAGAAACATAGATAAACACAGATCGATTACCATGACATCTTTATTAAAAAATGATTTCTATCGCCCTTAGCCTATGGTAAAGCCCCATAATGTGAATAGTGCTGGAGTCTGGAGCGCCATAATGTGGATGGCGCTCGAGTCTGAAAGCCCCATAATGTGGATGGTGCTTGAGCAATTGCGCCATTATTGGGGATGGCACACGCGTTTGAAGCGCCATAATGTGGATGGTGCTAGAACAGTTGGATTCCATAATGTAATGGAAGTGACGATTGAGTGCAGATTGAGTGTTTTGTTCAAAATTGAATACAAATTTGAACGAAACACTCAATCGGCCGGACGCCGGCCGATGGATCGGAGCAAATGTGACCCAGGCATAATGCGCTACATAGCCCCACATGAGCACAGTAAATGGTTAAATCCATTCTGATACTCATCACATTCTGCCTTTAACAAGAAATATGAAGGCCATGGTTTCTCATTGATGGGTTAAATCTTATCTAATTTATTTCATGAACTTTTGGGAATTTTTGACCGGGGGTTCGCACGAACCTCTCGAACCCCCGCTGGCTACAGGCATGGGTAAGATGCCGTTGTGCATAAAGAAGAAAGATGCCATGGTACACGATGCAATAGATGGGTAAGATGCCGTTGTGGATATTTTAGAAACGGGAAAGATGCCACTGTACACGATGCACTAGATGGGTAAGATGCCGTTGTGCATATTATAGAACAGGAAAGATACCACGGTACACGATGCAATAGATGGGTTAGAGATGCCGTTGTGCATATTATAAAAAGAAGAAAGATGCCACGGTGCACGATGGAACAGATGGGTAAGATGCCGTTGTGCATATTAGAAAGAAGAAAGATGCCACGGTACAGTACACTATTTCACTATTACACATTTCAGACCAAAAAGGTTAATTTCATTATTATGACGATCACTTCCAATATACAGGGTGGTCCAAAAAAAAGTGAACCCCTGCAACAGGCTACATTTTTCTTAATACATGCATGAATTGGCTCATATTATCACATGTTGTAAAGAAAGGTCTAAAATTTTGGTTGATGCCATAATTTATTCTCAGTTTTAAATTTTGAAGAAATTACAAGCGTTTAACAAACATGCCTAGCCTCGCCTGGAAATGAGATATTGTACAAAATTTTTATTTTTAAGCTGCAGTCTTGAAGAACTAATATTTTCTGACTTTGTTCAATTTTAAATCCTGCACATTATAGCTTAAAACTAACATTCTACATTTGTTAGTTGCAAAGTTATTGTGATCCAAAGAGATGTGTTAAGCTTCCACAGACGAAAACATTTTCCAGTGAAATCATGAACATACCCCTATATAATCTTGAAATGTCAATATCTTCATAAATCATGGACCAATTCGAATGATATATGGCTCAAAACATTGAATATTGGTATTTCTTTTGATTTTTTAAAGATATTTGATGAAGGGGTTATCAGATTCCTGGTCACAGGTAGTTTTTGCATGTCTCCAATTCTGTATCGCTCATCGTTCACTGTGAGAGTGTCTGCGAGCATGGCACACTTCCCATTTAGTTCCTTGGTCTATTTGAAATACGGCATCAGTAGGCGTCTGTTATCCTCCACTTTCTTTGGAAAGCTCACAGTAACGTATATATTTGATCCTTTAAGATTAAAACACTTTCCCCATACAGTCTATCCTGGTACCAATTGAATTTCACGGTCATCGTTCTTGTGAAGCCGTCCTAATTTTCTTTAGGACCAAGTGGAATTCGATGTATACGCTCGAAGCGAATATTCTGCACCTCATCCTTTGTCATTTTAAGTCTATCGACGAAAAAGTGCCTCATTACGACTCCTGGATTCTCGCCATCATCCTCAGGTACGTTCTGAAAGTGCAGTGCACTTCTACGAGAATACACATTCATATCCAGATATGCAATAGATGGGTAAGATGCCGTTATGCATATAAGAATCAAGAGGAAAGATGCCAGGTGCACGATGCAATAGATGAGTAGGATGCCGTTGTGCATACTAGAAAGAAGATGCCACGGTGCACAATGCAATAGATTGATAAGATGCCGTTGTGCATATTAGAAAGAAGATACCACGGTGCACAATGCAATAGATTGATAAGATGCCGTTGTGCATATTAGAAAGAAGATACCACGGTGCACGATGCAATAGATTGAAAAGATGCCGTTGTGCATTTTAGAAAGAAGATGCCACGGTGCACGATGCAATAGATGGGTAAAATGCCGTTGTGCATATTAGAAAGAAGATACCACGGTGCACAATGCAATAGATTGATAAGATGCCGTTGTGCATATTAGAAAGAAGATACCACGGTGCACGATGCAATAGATTGAAAAGATGCCGTATTGTGCATTTTAGAAAGAAGATGTCACGGTGCACGATGCAATAGATGGGTAAAATGCCGTTGTGTATATTAGAAAGAGGAAAGATACCAAGGTACACATGCAATAGTTGGATTAGATGCCGTGTTGTGCTAAATACCCGCAGCCGACATGTGAAATCGGTTCCAATAATTGAGGTTTTAAAAAGTTATTACAACATTTTTTATTCTAAAATTTACTTTTTTTCATAAGGCGTGATATAATGCATGATTTAGAAAATACGTTATCGCAATTCACCAGGGTTTTTTCAGACGAGGACTATACCCAGGCTGATCTAATATGGTTATTGTTCTTATAACGCAATTTGATTGGCAAAAAGTGCAGACATTATGGGATCGTTTTTAGATGTAAGGTACCCTTGGGAACTCACCCCTTGTAAGCCCTTCAGAAGAACAAGAAGAAGTCATAATGTACCCCCTTCCCCCTTAGGTTTGACTGAAAAAGTTTACATTAAATTGAAAGCTTAACTCTGCTTGTAATTGAATACTAACTTTTTTTCCTCAATTACTGTTGAAAAAAAGAAAGATGGACTTGGCGTGGTTTGAAAGATTTGCCGAACCTTTGAAGGGGAGTGTACGAAAGAAGGTAATTCAAAATATACTTGTGTTGGGGTCATACTTTTCATTTGGAGATACAGAGAGCTGCTATAAAAATGTTTTCAGCAATAATGCCGATGGTAATTTTGTTTGGAAATGTCGTTTTCCGTGATCACTCATGTCTGGCCCAACGTAAGAATTGCTATATCTATTCTCTAAAGAATTTTTATATTTATATTTTGATTCAAATAAATTGTAACTGTTATATGTTTACCATTATCATAAGAAAACAATTGACTTGTTTGCAGAAAAGTTGTTTCCATTTCTTTACAGAAACCACAACTGTGATAATACTCGGTGGTGGAATGTCGGGTGTCATGGCAGCCAAGACGTTGAATGATGCAGGGATAACAGATTTTATCATAGTAGAGTCACAGGCAAAGTTAGGGGGGCGAATAAAAAGGTTTGATTGGGTTGAAGGCAATGCTACGTTGGAGTTAGGAGCTGGGTGGGTACATGGTACGACAGGAAATCCCGTATGGGATCTTGTCCAGAAGTTCAACTTAAGTGGCTCTATTACGGACTACGATGATTATACGGCAAGAGACGCAAATGGACGAAATGTAACAGCTGATCTCAATGAAGCATATGCTAGATTAGAAGCTGCCCAAGAATACGAGGACGCTCTGGCCGACGACAAAAATCAGAACAATGGAAATGATATAAATAAGAAAGTGGCATTACGGCTAGGTGGTTGGGATGCAAAGTCGATTTATGAGAATGCAGCTGAGTATTTTGATTACGATTTCGAATTTGGAGTGAGGTCGGAGTTTACTTCTTTAAAGCATGGTGTTCTTACCAGGGCTACGGTGTTTCAAGACGAAGATTACCGGATCGTTGACCAGAGAGGCTTTGTTCATATAGTCCAGGCTACCGCGGATGAATTTCTGAACCCGGATGGATCTCAATTAAGATTGAATGAACGAGTTACCCAAATCGATACACCTGGAAATAGAGTTATGGTGACGCTTGCTTCAGGGGCGACGATTGAAGCCGAATATGCTATAACGACATTTAGTATCGGTGCCATGCAAAGTGGAAACATTACGTATAATCCACCGCTTGTGTACGAAAAGTCAGAAGCAATTAATCATTTCAAAATGGCGCGCTATACAAAAATATTTTTGAAATTTCCTACACAATTTTGGGATGAAACAGAGTTTATAATTCACACATCCAAAAGAAATGGCTTCTATACAATTTGGGAAAATTTGAACCACAATAAAGCTATGCCAGGTTTGTACATGTATGCTTCTCTTATATAGACAAAAACATTGAGAAGACTTGAGAAATTGAATATATCGACGTTTTTTAGAACGTTTACTCGAACAATTAA